AGAAAGCTCACACAATTCCCTTAATGTCACACAACTAGGTGATGGCCAAAGGATTTCTGATCCTAGGGTCTATATTTATACCTACCTCACTATGCTGTCTTTCTTAAATTTCATTCTATTTCCCTGGTGGCTCAGAAGGTAAAGAATCTGCCTGCAATGCAGGAGACCTGGGTTTGATACCTGGGTTGGGAAAATCCCCTAGAGAAGAGAATGGCAACCCACTCCAGTATTCTTGCCTGGAGAATTCCATGGGCAGAGGAGCCTGGCAGCTACAGTCCATGGGATCACAGATTTGGACATGACTGAGCAACTAAAATGGTTATCTGAGGAGGCCTTACAAACAGCTGTGAAAAGAAGAGAAGTGAAAAGCAAAGGAGAAAAGGAAAGATATTCCCATTTGAATGCAGAGTTCCAAAGAATAGCCAGGAGAGATAAGAAAGACTTCCTCAGTGATCAATGCAAAGAAATAGAGGAAAACAACAGAATGGGAAAGACTAGAGATCTCTTCATGAAAATTAGAGATACCAAGGGAACATTTCATGCAAAGATGGGTTCGATAAAGGACAGAAATGGTATGGACCTAACAGAAGAAGAAGATATTAAGAAGAGGTGACAAGAATACACAGAAGAAATGTCCAAAAATATCTTCACAACCTAGATAATCATGATGGTGTGATCACTCACCTAGAGCCAGACATCCTGGAATGTGAAGTCGAGTGGGCCTTAGAAAGCACCACTACAAACAAAGCTAGTGGTGGTGATGGAATTCCAGTTGAGCTATTTCAAATACTGAAAGATGATGCTGTGAAAGTGCTGCACTCAATATGCCAGCAAATTTGGAAAACTCAGCAGTGGCCACAGGACTGGAAAAGGTCAATTTTCATTTCAATCCCAAAGAAAGGCAATGCCAAAGAATGCTCAAACTACCACACAATTGCACTCATCTCAGATGCTAGTAAAGTAATGCTCAAAATTCTCCAAGCCAGACTTCAGCAATACGTGAACCGTGAATTTCCAGATGTTCAAGCTGATTTTAGAAAAGGTAGAGGAACCAGAGATCAAATTGCCAACATCCACTGGATCACCGAAAAAGCAAGAGAGTTCCAGAAAAACATCTATTTTTGCTTTATTGACTATGCCAAAGCCTTTGACAGTGTGGATCACAATAAACTGGAAAATTCTGAAAGAGATAGGAATACCAGACCACTTGACCTGCCTCTTGAGAAACCTATATGCAGGTCAGGAAGCAACAGTTAGAGCTGGACATGGAATAACAGACTGCTTCCAAATTGGAAAAGGAGTATGTCAAGGATGTATATTGTCACCCTGTTTATTTAACTTATAAGCAGAGTACATTATGAGAAATGCTGGGCTGGATGAAGCACAAGCTGGGATCAAGATTGCCAGGAAAAATATCAATAACCTCAGATATGCAGATGACACCACCCTCATCGCAGAAAGTGAAGAAGAACTAAAGAGCCTCTTGATGAAAGTGAAAGAGGAGAGTGAAAAAGTTGGCTTAAAGCTCAACATTCGGAAAACTAAGATCATGGCATCTGGTCCCATCACTTCATGGCAAATAGATGGGGAAACAGTGGAAACAGTGGCTGACTTTACTTTTTTGGGCTCCAAAATCACTGCAGATGGTGACTGCAGCCATGAAATTAAAAGACGCTTACTCCTTGGAAGGAAAGTTATGACCAACCTAGACAGCATATTAAAAAGCAGAGACATTACTTTGTCAACAAAGGTCCGTCTAGTCAAGGCTATGGTTTTCCCAGGGGTCATGTATGGATGTGAGAGTTGGACTGTGAAGAAAGCTGAGCACTGAAGAATTGATGCTTTTGAACTGTGGTGTTGGAGAAGACTCTTGAGAGTCCCTTGGACTGCAAGGAGATCCAACCAGTCCATCCTAAAGGAGATCAGTCCTGGGTGTTCATTGGAAGGACTGATGCTGAAGCTGAAACTCCAATACTTTGGCCACCTCATGCGAAGAGCTGACTCATTGGAAAAGACCCCGATGCTGGGAGGGGTTGGGGGGCAGGAGGAGAAGGGGGGCGACAGAGGGTGAGATGGCTGGATGACATCACTTACTCGATGGGCATGAGTTTGAATAAACTCCAGGAGTTGGTGATGGACAGGGAGGCCTGGTGTGCTGCGATTCACAGGGTCGCAAAGAGTCGGACACGACTGAGTGACTGAACTTAACTGAACTGAGCAGCTAACACTTTTTCACACAAGAAACAGAATTCCAATCTGTTTATATACTTCTTTCATCCCACCTTAAATTATCATTTTTTTAATTGATCATAATCTACTTCCCCTTCCTCAAAAAAACTGCATTTTAATTTAATTACACAGTGTTATATAGTTAAACACAAAACTGCACAGGGTGTAGTCATCTAAGACTTTAATAAAGAATATTGGCATAGCCGGAGAAAGGTGACACATAAATATCAGAAAAGTGTGAAACATATAGGTATAGCTCATAGGGCTTTTTGGTTCTTTATTTTTCCACAAAATATGCTTCTTCTTCAGATTGCAAACCACCAAGACAGTGCAAAATACCTTGGTCTTAAGGGAATCAAATCACAATTTGATGGGGGGGGGGTCTTTTAACAAGCCGCTGGTCACTTTGCTAAAAGCCACACCACATGACTGATGAAATCAGGTGCAAACTATTAATATTTATTTATTTTTATAATATATGAAAGTCTTCAATAGTTTCTATTGATATGCATTCAGATTCAGTAATCTTTTCTTCTACCATGCTTAACCTGTTAATTCCATTCAGTGTACTTTTTAAAAAAAATCTCAGATAATGTATTTTTTCATTTTTAGAAGTTTGATTTGGGAGTTTAAAAATATCTTCCGTGTCTCTACTTAGCACATGCAAATTTCTTCTAGCTTCTTGAACATAAGGAATGCAATATAATAACTGATATGATATCCTTGCCCATTATCTTTGTTATCTGTATCATTTTTGGTTCAGTTTCATTTGATTCATTTTTCTCCTCATTATGGGCCATGCCTTCTGTATTTTCCATGTCCAATGATTTTTGATTCAATACCAGAAAGCATATTGATCTTTGGGTCTTTGTTTAATTTTCAGTAGGTGGTACCAGAGCCACGTTTAGCCTGGGGATAATTTTTCCCCACTCCTAAAGCAAGATCCCTTTTACTTCTATAATTTATATCCAGTGAATTATGAAGTTTCCCACTGTAACCATTGGGTATTGACAGTTTCAAGTGCTACGAGATTCCTGGGCACTATTCTTTTTGGGGGATGGTTATTCTTCAAACTCAGGAAGTTTCCACATATGCAAGTGCTCACTAGCACTCAACTCAGTACTTAAGGAAGAATCTCTAATGGTTTCTGGAGGTCTCTCTCTGTACAGCTCTTGCCTCTTCATGCATGGCCCAGTACCACGTCTTCAATTCATGTACACTAACAGGGTTTTGCCTACGCTGCTCGTCTCTGCCATCACCTAGAAACTTATCTCCAGACAGTAAACTGGGGCAATTTTAGGACTCACCTTATTCATTTCCTAAATCTCGAGACACCATTCTTCATTTAACTATGTCAAAAGCTATTGTCTCATATATCTTGTTAGGTTTTTAGTTCCAGTCCCTGTGACTCCATCTTGACTGGGAGGGAGCAGAAGTCTGTTCATTTTCAATAAATAGTGTAGACAAACTAATAAAGAATGCCTCTAGGATTTTTAGATTTTAAACAGCATATTTTAATCACAAGCAAGTTTTTTCTTTCTTGACCAAGGGTCAGTTCCATGGTTCCTGGCTTCCCTGGAAACAAGCATAGAAGTACCAGAGACCAAATGCAAATTATCCTTATTCTTGCATAGGTCCCTGGAAATGCCACTGTTGCCGGCCTCCGTATGTTTTCCTGCCGCTTGCCATTGTCTCCTTTGCTGCCTGGCTAGTGCTATCTAACTGTCTCAAGCCAAACTGAACCTGCACTACTATTACACCTCCTTCGTTCTTGTACTGTTTTACATTTATCACTCTGTGTTATAATTATGGGTGTACATATCTGTCTCCCGATGAGATCATAGGATCCCTGCAGGGAAAGATTATGTCTCGATAGCCCCAGTGCCTGATCTTCTTGGGGTTTCATGATAACACACTGACTGAATTAATGAATAAAATGAATGAATATTTGAATACAAATTATTTTAACCAATAACAGCACAGCATATTTGGAAATTAATAACAGAACTGTAACAAAGTATTTTAAAGTTGTTACCTAAAATTGTGCTCAAAATAGCTGAATTGCCTGGAAGAATAATGTTATTCCTTTTAATTCACTTTCTCATGGAATCATTTTATTGTTTCAAGAAATATGGCTTAAAATAACTCTTTTATACTTTATATTTTTTATATATATATTTTATATATAAAGTATATTTTATACTTTATATTTCAGAGACTGATTTAGTTGAACCTTCTCATGACTTTACTTAAAATCTTGTACACTAACAGGACCAATTAGATATTACTATCATAGCTTTTGTAGTTAAAAGACCATATGTGACTCAGATGGTAAAGAATCCACCTTCAATGCAGAAGACCTGGGTTTGATCCCTGGTTTGGGAAGATCCCCCAGAAGAGGGCATGGCAACCCACTCCCATATTCTTGGCTGGAGAATCCTCATGGATGGAGGAGCCTGGCGGGTCCATGGGGTCGCAAAGAGTCAGAAACGATTGAACGACTAAGCACAACATATATCTCCAAGGTGATAATGTAGGATTTTCTTCTATAACTGAACATATTTTTGTTGCTCTTGCCTCACTTATTTTGAGCTGCAGAAAATTAACTCTTTGACTCTTAGGTGCTAAGTTTAACTCAGAAGTTCTTCGGCTATATTTAGATGTTACTATTTAAGTTGGTTGACTCTACACACGTCAGCAGGGATTCCTCTCCCATTCTCTTCCTCTGAGTTGCTCACAAGCCAAGCAGAATGTACACAGATAAACTTCAGCTAAGTTAGGGTGAGTGAACAGAGGCGGCGTGCCCAGCCGTTGGACTTCTTGCTGCTCGCTCCGTGTGAGCCCCAGGTCCGCAGTTCTGTCTGTGAGGAAGTCAGTAAGATGGCGCCGGTCGGGCTGTCACCCACGCGCTGACGCCCTCCTGCCGCGTGTTCGGCAGACCGTGACTTTGCACGGTTCTGCGCCCGCTGAGACCGCACAGAGCACTGTGCATGTGTGTCACGAGGTACGTGCTTGGTCGTGGTCTGCCTTGGGAGGTACACCTGAATGGGCTTCACCGCCATAGCTCTGGCTGCGGCCGCGTTGGGGTCACCTTGGAGCGACCCCATGGTTATGTTGTCTGAGGTAATGTCATGGCTGCTCTTATGGCTGCTGCTACGGCTGTCGCTTCAGCCAGGGCAGAATGAACATGTCTGCAGGTCCTCCGGCTCCTCGCGTCTTCTTGTAGCCTCTTAGCTCACGCCTTGCCTACCCTGGGTTCAGTGAAAAATGCGAACTTGAGAGAGTTGGCGTCCTGAACCAGATCAGACACACACCACAGCTTTAACATGGCCATATTTGATGCCGGCTGTATCCGCTGCCAGCTGCCTTTGGTGGCTTCTGGATCAGCATTTTCCCCCGAACATATGTTGATCCAATGTTTGCAGCTGGTGCTGAGGCAGTTATGAAGGAAAATAGGACATTTTGTGTGATGACTACTGCTACTAATCCACCAAAATCAGCGCTTCACGTATTCTTTGGCTTCACAGGTAGAGCCTACACTCAGAGGCTCACACGCTGCATGTATTTGATTCATCTGCCTCAACATGGAATCTTCAAAGGACTTACAAGGCATTTTACCTCAGTGTTCTCTAACACTTGCTAAAACTATCCTTTAGGAATCCTGGGAGATAACCAAAATGAACTAAACATTATTTAACTGAGACATTCTGAAGCTTCCCAGGGTGTGAGGTCTTCTGTAATAAATTTGAAGTTGTCAAGAGTGAGGATTCAGATTGCTTCATATCCTTTTTGGCTACTTTTTCGCTCTAAACAGCAGCTAGATTTCTTTCCTGACAGATTTATTTCAGGTTATCAAACATTTATATCCTTGGCTCTTCTACTCTTCAGGCATAGAAAGGGAAGCTTTTATTCTAGAAGTCAAATTGGAAAAAGTCATTCTTATTCATTTTATTTTTGCTTGAGGCTATATTTTGAATTCAGGTTTGAATTACTTTGCAGTATTCTTCCATTAGGTAGGGATCTACATTCAACAGATGGTCAATAAATGCTCTATTTAAATTACATATTAAAAATAAAAATGACAATTCAATTGGCACATGAGAAAGAAAATTTAATATTCACAGTCACCCTAACTTTTGTAAAGGGCCAGTTTTGTTGATTATATAATGAAATGAAACTCTAATCTAGTTCATTGTATAGATGATAAATGAGCTTTACTAATGACATTAATAAGATAATAAAATCGAGTTCAACACAATTTATTGACAAACATTTTTCATAATTACAGTAGTGAAATTATTGATAGATTTTTGATAACCATGTTTTATTCATTAAGTATGAATCTCTATGAGTGGTTTAAATCTGGTGTGAAACCTTTAAATCTGCGTGCAACCTTCATGACATCTAAAACGAAGCCATATATATAGGTTGTACTTAAACTAGATAAAAGGGAAGAGAATGAGAATGCAGTCCTAATAAGAGGGTTGAAACAGCATTCTTGGACTTGCTGACTTGCTAGAAGTCAGTGAGTCCACACTCAACCCAACCAGGATATAACAAACTGATCCTTGGGAGCCAGGCTCTGTGCAGTGTTCCCTTCGGTGATTCATGTCTGGCTTGGGTGGGTACCTCATCCTTCAGAGTAGGTTGCCGTTGCCACCATTCAGTATAAGCACAAAAGGATCACTCAGTATTTACTCTTTAGTTTATGCTTCTGTCAACCTCCTTAGATTGTGAATTCTTAAAAAACGATTTTGTTTTACAATCCTTTGTGTCTACAGGATGTTCTCTATAAACATTGAATGAGAGCGACTGAGTAAACAATTGCAAGTAGTGCCCACCTTCATTCCTAGTAAATAGGGTGTATATAAATGCATATGTACATGCATAGTTTTATTAAATATAAATGAGAAGGGGGAATAAGAGCATTAGCAACTCCCAGAAAAGGCAGAGGTTTTCTAGCCAGAATAGTGTATAAATTACAGTGGATATTATACAAATATTTAAAATGCAATTGGCCCTTGAACAGCACAGACTTGAAATATGGAAGTCCACTTACACCTGAATTTTTTCAGTAGTAAATACTATAGTCCTGCAGGACCCGTGGTCAGTTGGATCTGTGGAGGAACTGTGTATTTGGCTGATGGTAAGTGATATGAAGATTTTTGAATGCTTGAAGGGTTGGCAACCCTAACACCAGATTTGCTCAAGAGTCAAATGTGTTTAATTTTAATGAAATGAGAGACTGAAGTGTGTTTGTTTTTGCTAAAAACATTTTACTTCCCCAATGACTCCATGGTAGAGAAGCTCCCTGTAATGTAGGAGACACAAGAGATGCAGATTTGATCCCTGGGTTAGGAAGATCCCCTGGAAGAGGAAATGGCAACCCACTCTAGTATTCTTGCCTGAAAAATCCCATGCACAGAGGAGCTCTGTGGGCTACAGTCTAAAAGGTTGCAAAAGTTGAACATGACCAAGCACACACACACATAGGAAAGTAAGAACAGAGAAGCCCAGATATGTAAATTGATTCCAGATAATTCTGGATGTCAAATGCTGGATTGAGTATTTAGGGAATGCCAAGTCATTCATGTTTTAAAGAGTAATGTAATTTTGTTTTTTAAACAAGGAAAGTAATGTGACCATATCTGTGCATTAGAGAGACTTAGATAGTAAGAATATGTATTCTATTTAAAGATGAAGGTTGAAGGTTAATAAATTGAAAATATACTGAAATGATAAGTGGTCTTTTTTTTTTTAATTACAGACTAACTTTCACTGCATTGGGAAGAGTTAGAGCAAGGTGAACGAGAAAGTATCAAAATGAAAAAAGGTCAGTAAAAATGCATTTGGTTTCTAAGAGTTTCTGATAGTAGTTTTGACACTTTTTAAAAGATAAAACCTTTTATATTAACTACAATGAACTAATCTCATTTGACTTGCTTTGAAGCCTACAGTTGTCAAGAAGGAATTTAATGCATGAAAAATAACTCAGGAAGGCTAAAGAGAAGGCTAGTCTTTTACACAGGCTTTTTTCTATTTATCTATAAAGAAAAGATGCTTTCAGCCTCACAGCCTAACAAACAAAATCATTAAAAAGTTAATAATACTTTCTCCCAAGCGTAAGGGTAAAACTAGAATTTTGAAGGTATCTAAAAATAACATAAACAGAACACAATGCATAAAGGCAAATTATGACTCCAGAGAGGATTTTTGCATCAAAGTTTCTTTCACTGGAACAGAAAATTGACAGCAAAGCTGAACGTGGATGCTCTTTTTGTCTGTTTGTTTGGAGGTAAACAGAGAGAACCGAAGTTGAGAGAGGAATAAGTGGCCCTAAATGGGGCTGTTCTTTCTAAACTTTAAAAACTGTTGGTTTTGCTGTCAGCAGCTGAGCTGTGTCTGACTCTTTGAGACCCCTTGGACTGCAGCGCCCCAGGCTTCCCTGTCCTCCACTGTCTCCCAGTTTGCTCAGATTCACATCCACTGAGTTGGTGATGCTGTCTAACCATCCCACCCTCGGCAGCCCCTTTCTTATTTGGCCTTCAGTCGTTACCAGCATCAGGCTCTTTTCTGGTTTGATCAATTCTTTGGCGCTCAGCCTTCTTAATGGTCCAACTCTCACATCTGTACATGATTACTGGAAGAATCATAGCTTTGACTATACAGATTTTTGTCAGCAAAGTGGTATCTCTTGTTTTTTAATATACTGTCTAGGTTCGTCGTAGCTTTCCTTCCAAGGAGCAAGCGTCTTTTAATATCGTGGCTGCAGTCACCACCTGAAGTGATTTTGGCTCAAACAGTAGTGATGCTATACAGCAAGAAGCCAGAAGACTGAAATTCATGGGTGGCTTTGCTCAAAAGGCTTTCAGTTTCAACTTGAAAAGGAGCTAACTAAATGTTGATTATTGGGGCATGGGACAGAGTTGTGGACGGGATATATGTACAAGACATATTTTGACAATTTCGGTTTGGCTGGCATTTCATTAATGTCCAAAACAGACAAGCAAAGAATATCTTTCACTGGGCTAGTTTTGCCTATAGACTAGATCCTCCAGGAGGTATATAACCTGTTATGTACCTGTGTCAGGCTAATAATTTTGGGCATTTTCTAATAGATGATCATTAAAAATTTCTTTGACACAATTGTTTGTGCGTGTGTATTGTGTATATGTGTTGATGTGAAGGTGAAAGGTAGAAGAATGGAGAAGGATATCTGAAGGATGATCCCTCATTTAAATGTTCTGTGAACAGAAAAGATCTGGATTAGTAAGGTTCCATCCATTCCTTCTTTATTATTGGCCTTCTTTGAGCAAAGGGGAAGACATAGTAATCCTTCTAACTGCTTACAGTTCTTTTTTCAAGAAATGTCTTGGCAAATAAAATTCTATACTTCTTCTATTTCCAATAACTCAATTTAGCACATTTTATGAATTTTTGCCTTGACTTCTTTCACTCCTTAATTCTGCCCTGATTACCAGTGAATAAGGTCTTTTTCTGCTTAGGTTTTACCCTTGAGTGTTGAATGGTATCCAAAGGGAATTTAACAAGGAACTGAGGGCTGAGATTTGAGTTTCTAAGATAGATTATCCAAAAGTGGGTGTGAACTGACAGGTAAGCAGTTCACTGCCATCTATAAAAATTGTTAGACACAGTTCACCCATGCCCCTAATTCTGAGGAGGGCTTCATCTACAGAATGTAGAAATATTTGTAACAACTTGTAACAAGCTGTTGAAGTCTGCTGATTATTCTTTCTGATAGATCTCCTGCTCCAGTTGCGATATTGTAAAATGACCATTTGTAGCTTCAATACAAAGGTTTTGGGTTCAGTGAAACCAACATGTACTACGATTACATGTAGTAGTGATATTGTAGGTGCATTTCTCTATTTCAACAGTGATTGCATTAAGTCTGGAGAATGCTTTGGGTAGTATGGACATTTTAACAATTAATTCTTCTAATCAAGAGTATGGGATATCTTTCCATTGTGAATCACCTTCAGTTTCCTTACCAATATTTTATCATTTTCAGCATATAGGTCTTTTACTTCCTTGGTTAAGT